TTTTCCAAAAAGACTGATCCACACAGTTTTCTTTGTTTTATACAAATGTTTTAATATACAAACAATAATACAATTTCCAATACAGTTATTACAAGTAGTTATTACAAACAATGATTTATATACACAAGTTTTACAAACTTACAAGCAGTATAAAGTCTTCTTTCTTGTCTGGAATTTCCTTGATATCTTATCGAGGGTTCACGATGAGCCAGTTAATTTCGAGATGTCTGTACAATTCACTTATTAAGGAGCTAGCTAGCTCTGTGAAATTCACTGAAAGCACGTCGATTTTTCCTACCGGTGACGTTAGGTAATGTTTTCGTAAAAGTACTAATGTCCGATGTAAATTCACTGAAGTTAAATGATTTGTAATGTTCAAAATTTATAAAAGTTCCGGGTCAGTATATCTGAAGTTCCCGATTAATAAGCGTTAATCACAATTATAGCTTTCGAGGTTTATAGTATACCAATTATAGCACACCAATAATAAATATACACTGTTTTTTGGCGCGTCGCGTTGGTTATATTTATAGGCGTGTGGGGAGTTTCTCGAAATTTCAGATTTACTTAACAATACTGACGCTAATACTTGCGTTTACGTACATACATATACATATATTGTTGATTCTTACACTCGTGAATCTTCTACAACTTTAGAAAATAGGCGGAAGTTTCGCAATACAGATTTAACAGTATAAGTTATGTACATTTCTAAATATAAATTTAATTTCAACAAACGTCGATATTAAAATAAATGTATAATAATAAATCTGTTACACTCAAGATTGAAGAACAGCTATAAAGCTATAAACACATCATCTTTCTTCGTTGTAAAAATATAAATACAATAAATATTAAAATTACAAGCATATCTGGCTTTTACGATGTTTGCTTAGAAAATAATTATCTTTTTGACTGCCCTTCCCTCATAAACGAATACTCCGAAATATATATAAATATAGTTAAAATATAAACAGATACAAATTCACCGAGGACTCGTATATAAAAGTACACAGAAATAAACTGATAGAAATCCCGATTTCTAACTTGGGTCAATGAACTTGTGGGCCTACAAACATCGGATTATATGTATAATGTCTGTAATTATACGTTTTGTTTGACGCGGAAACCTATGTACTATATTAAAATTCAATGTATTGTACCGCATCCAGTAGTACAATGCACACACACACATGAGGGTGAGGTAACAGCTGTACTAAAATTTCGTGATTGACTGATGCACAGGCCAATCATATCTCCGCTATTTCGTTTAGAAATATCTAACTGATCTATATAGGTCATTTGAATCTTTCCGCATGTGCTTCCTTCCGTTACAAAGTAAATAAAATGTCCTGCTATATACGGTTGTAAATAACAAGGTCCTATTTCATTATTTTTGTAGCTTTGGTAGTGTGTCAATGGCATTGTTGTCATAGATATATGTCACTAACACCATTTTCGAAGAAGAAACTCACGTAAGTATGAAATTTAAGATTTAAATTTGAAAATTTTGTATTGAGAATAACTTCCACTTCTTTTAATATATCTTTTACTTACAAATTCATAATCTCAAACTCACCAAAAAATGATATTTAGTATAAAACTTTCAATGGTAAAGAGTAAATTTTCAAACTGATAATTTGCCTTTATCTCACTAAAGAGATGTTTTGTCTACTGACTTCCGCGTATTTCAATTGGACATACTAATGCCAGCACAGGTAGATAGATACACAGTAAGTGACCGAAACATACTCTAAAATACTCATGCGAAAGCCAATAGACTCCGTCTAGAAATGTTTCATTATGTGATTTTAAGTGTTAGGTGTTTACTCTTATCTAGGCCCGAGCGTTGAACTGCTTACAGGCTGCCTTAACTAATTGCACACGAAGCAAAACTATAAAGTCATTTCATTAATAGCAGTACAAAAATAAAACGTTCTGTTTTTATAAGTTCGGTAACCAACTGTCTAGATCTTTGAGGGCGATTGTGGATTCTCTGCAGTCGGTGTTCTCTATAGGAACACGCATATTCGTAGCACTACAAAATAGCAAAATCTGAAGACTTCATAGAAGTTAAATGATACTCAGACAAACCGTTGATCATATTCATTAAACGCTTGAAGCTGCATTAAGAATAATGGTTCAATAATAAAACATTGCAACTTTTCACTGATATAGTTTGTTTGGTTTCGGATATTCGCGCAAAGCTATGTTAGAAGACTACCTGCGCTATTCGTCAATTTTCAACAGATAGATTAGACTAGAGGGAAGGCAGCTAGTCAACAGCTCCCGATAGATTAGACTAGAGGGAAGGCAGCTAGTCAACAGCTCCCGATAGATTAGACTAGAGGGAAGGCAGCTAGTCAACAGCTCCCGATATATTAGACTAGAGGGAAGGCAGCTAGTCAACAGGTCCCCATAGATTAGACTAGAGGAAAGGCAGCTAGTCAACAGCTCCCCATAGATTAGACTAGAGGGAAGGCAGCTAGTCAACAGCTCCCCATAGATTAGACTAGAGGGAAGGCAGCTAGTCAACAGCTCCCAGTAGAATAGACTAGAGGAAAGGCAGCTAGTCAACAGCTCCCAGTAGATTAGACTAGAGGGAAGGCAGCTAGTCAACAGCTCCCAGTAG